TGTATAGCCTGGCAGTGTCACGATTACTATATGACCCAACACTCAGAACTATGTAACATACAATGAACAAGTACAACGTTTACTGGGCCTTAGAATGGCCAGACTTAATGTAATAAAGAATGGTCAAAATACTAGCCGAGGTCAGGGACACAGAAAGGGATACAACAAGGAAGCAAGCCAAAGTTCAGAATAAGGGGAAGTCAAAATACAAACCAAAGTCAAATACCAAAAAGAACTAGAACAAGATGCCCTCTCTGACAACAACTAGTGGAAACCATGAAAGGGCACTGAAAAAATGCTATTTTGGGTTTAAATAACCCTCTTGAGGTTGTAATTGGTTGTACCTGGGCACTGACCCCAAAACGTGCGTGCGCGCGCGTCTATGACGTGATGTTGCACGCACGTTGGCGTCATCTTTGCTGTGGACGCAGGTAAGTTTCCTGTTTAAACAGGAACCGCAGTGGCCGGTATCCCTAAGAATGCCGCACTTGCTGGGGACCTGAGCGAGAGGGGATTGGGCAGTGATCTGCTGCGACCTGGGTAAATATAAACCTGCTGGAAGCATGTGTGTGTGTCAATGAGCTTTTTTGTAGAGAGTATGTGTGTGTCAGTGAGCTTGTCTGTTGTGAGCATGTGTGTGTCAGTGAGCTTTTCTGTGGTGAGCATGTGTGTGTCAGTGAGCTTGTTTATGGTGAGCATGTGTGTGTCAGTGAGCTTGTCTGTAGTAAACATGTGTGTGTCAGTAAGCTTTTCTGTAGGAACATATGTATCAATGAGCTTTTCTTTAGTGACCATGTTTGTGTCAGTAAGCTTTTCTGTAGGGAGCATGCACGTGTCAACAAGTTTTTCTGTAGGGAACATGGTTGTGTCAACAAGTTTTTCTGTAGGGGGCATGTGTGTGTCAGTGAACTTGTCTGTAGTGAGCATTTGTGTGACAGTGAGCTTGTCTGTAGTGAGCTTGTGTGTGTCAGTGAGCTTGTCTGTAGGAAGCATGTGTGTATCAGTGAGCTTTTCTATAGTGAGCATGTGTGTGTGTGTGTGTGTGACAATGAGCTTGTCTGTAGTAAGCTTGAGCATGTCAGAGTTTGTCTGTACTACGTTTGTGTGTTTTTCAATAAGCTTGTCTGTGTGTGTGAGTGAGATTGTCAGTTAGCCTATGTGTGTGCATCTGTGAGCTTGTGTTTTTATGTCAATGAGCTTATGTGTGATTGTTTGTCTATGAGGCTGTGTATCAATGAGCTTGTGTGTTTCAGTGAGATTGTCTGTGTCTGCATGTGAGTATGCTTACTGTATAATTAAATGTTTTACTCTAAAAGGACAATATTTTATATTAGAAAAAGAAATATGTATTTATTATATTTATGTTATATATATATATATATATATATATATATATATATATATTTATATGTATGTATGCATATGTGTTTATATATAACTCAATCATCTGGGGTGGCAAGACATAGCCTTACATATTACATGTGACATTACTGTCACGGTGCCTAATCGGCACCTCAGTGTGACCGCACCAGATCGGTGTGGTCACACTATCGCAGTGCTGATCGGCACCACGATGTGACCGCGTCTGATTGGTGCAGTCACACTAAAGGAGGGAGAGGTTACTTACCTCCAGAGCCTCTCCCTCCATGCAGTCCTTAATACAGTGGCCTGGTCCACCGTTTGGAAGGACGCCGGACACTGCAAGGCGGTGATATATAATAACGCCACCCACAATGACGTCACTGCCAAAAGTAGGGTTTATTTGGCTATTTAAACCCAAACCTGCAGTTGTTCAGTACCCTGTCGTGGTTTCCACCCTGTTGGTTATCCGAGAGTGTGTTCCTGATTCTGTTTTTTGCTTTTTGATCTTAGCTTGGCTTGACTTCCTGTATTTCTGGTATACCTGACCCTTTGGTTTTGTTCTTACTGTATTTGTTCCTTTCTGTATTCCTGACCTCGGCTCATGAAAGTTTATTCTATTACATTAATTCTGGCCATTCTAAGGCCCGGTAATACGTTGTTACTGTTTGTCTTTGTTACGTGTTTTACTTAATTTTGAGTGTTGGGCCACTGGTTCGTCCTGACAATTACTTGGTGCAATGACTTATGGGGCTGGCATAGATTTTTTTTCCAGGGTTGCTTTGTATCCCCAGGGCGGGGGTGAGTGTGACAGAATTGGAGGGCTTAATGTGACAGGATTAGGAGGGTGGAAGGGGTAACAGAGTGAGGGAGGGGGTGACAGAGTGAGGGGGGTAACAGAGTGAGGAAGGGGGGTGATAGAGAGGGGGTAGGGATGTCAGGTGACAGAGTGAGGGAGGGGGTGACAGAGTAAGGGATGGGTTGACAGGTGACAGAGTGAGAGAGGGGGTAAACTCACCCCTTTTCTTTTTCTTAAGCGATTCCCTGGTGGTTTTGTGCTTATTTTCATGGTGGTCCAGTCTGCTGTCACCCTCCCTAGTGGTCCGTTGGGCTGTCTCTCTAACTTGTGGTCCGTTGGCCTTCTTATCCGGTCTGCTGCTTCTCCAGGTGCAGAGCTGCAGACCATGTGATAGGAGTCTTGCGATCTCCAGAAGCCAGAGCATTGCCGTAGTAATCCGTGGCAATGCTTTGATTGGCTGAGATCGGGAGCCACTTCACAATCTGCAGCTAACATCCAGCAGAGCTGCAGACTGGAGGTTAGGCTCGTTCTCTTAGGGCAGACTGGAGGAGCAAGCTATCAGGCCCTCGGTCATGGACCCAACAAGTCACTCTGCCCTAAGGTGATTTAGGTGACCCCAAGGCCCCGGTCAGCGCACGGCCTTAGACGGCCACCTAAATCTCCTAATTAGAAAACTGCCTTTGGTCCTCAGGTACATTAAAATGCCTTACTCCCCTTTGCATATTTGTTCCTCATTCCTGTAGATTGTAAGCTCTATTGGGCAAGGCCCTCTTCACTGTTCCCATATGTCAAACATGTTTTGTTAGAATTAAATGTTTTTTTTTGGTTTGTGCTGCATATATATTGGGGCCATATAAATAATGATATTTGTAATCATATTGTACCATAGGAAGACCCTTATTAGAAAGCATGTACCTCTATATCCCCAGAGAAGGTCTACTCCCTGGGAGGAGGGTGGTATTGACAATTATTTGGGAAAAAAAAACTATTAACGAATCACAAAAAAAATAAGAACAACAAAAAAAGCAAGAGGTACAGTGTTGTGAGATTATGAGACTGTATGTATCTTTTCAGTGTATCTACGTGTGGTAGAGATTACTGAGAAATTCTTGTATATAAGAAGTACAAGATAGGTGTGAAAGCAATGAAATGTGCACACGATGAGAGTCAGAGGAAATGGAATCGTGAGAATAGAGGGAAATAGGGTTATAGGAAAAAACATGTGGTATTAAAAAAGTTGTAATAAAAGGCTTCATCCAGTATATAAGCAATCATCGATTAGATATAGTTATACATTGTTATTCATACAGTGTTACTGGTTTCTGAGTTTACTAAATTATAAAAACCCACAACAATACCACTATTTTGTTTTGTTAGCTCAATGCACTGGTTATTGGAACAGATATCTATGGATCTTTCAAAGAGAAGATTAAAGGGGAACTCTAGGCACCATAATCTCTACAAGAATCGCAAAGACAAACAGCACACCAATTTACGCTTAAATTGTGTGCCGTGGGTCTTTGCTAGTGTTGTATGTGGTGTTGAACAGTGCATAGTCGCCATATGGGCAGGCAGAATCAGGACAAAACCACATACCTAACCCAATAAAACACCAACACTAGGGTATATGGGTCAAAATTGTCCACAGCTTTATTCAATAGTAATAATAAATTAACATAGAAAAAGGTCATTGCCCCACACCCCGCCATCACATCCGTATCCTTCAGTTAGATATAAAAGTCAATGACCCATATATAAATAAATAACATAGAACAGTATTCCAACAGGAACATAACTTAAAGTGCCAACATTTTAATTAACCATGGTAGGGGTATACCCGGATACCCCTACCCCACCAGGTTTTGAGCCAGCGACAGGGCTCAAAACCTACCAAACTTATCAAGAACCATATTCACCATTTCCATAATCATGCTACAGGAGAGCCTATTTCCCTGTCTCCCTAGCTCCCTATCTCGCCGCTGTGACAGAACGTGACAACCCAACCATCAAAAAACTCAGGGAGGGAGGGAGGAACAAACTCAGCCAGGCAGGTAAGTTAAAAGTGATTTTTCTAAGATGGCTGCCTATTTATATAGCCCAACCTTTAGCCCCCAAACCACCAATCCCTACATGCTGCCTCCTAGCCTTGTCAAGGCCCCTTTGCACTAAACTGCGCTTTTTGGCTACATGGGGCTACATTATGTAGCAAGAAGACTTTTTCCACTTTAAGCATACAATTCTCTATTAATGCACATTAATGTGGGTTACCAAACAAAGCAGAGTATTCACTATAACTTTGTGACCATAACCACTATAGCCTGCTGTAGTGTGTATTGTGCCAAGAGTCCCATACCTCAATCCCATGGTAAATAGTCAAACTGTAACTCCAGTCTTGCCTCCTTTTTTGTGGATATCCCTACTTCTACATTAGTATTGCTTATTCTGCCCTTTTTTAGAAAGAATTCGTAGTCCAAAAGAGTCTGAATATGAACAAAATATGTACATATATTGCGCAAAGGAATCTTCCATTTTAGAAATATCACAAAAGAAACCCTAACTGGAGGCCACCGTGGTCTGTAGTAAGTGTCAAATAATTTGAAAACATTTTGACTACTTATTGTTCAGCAAAGGGAAACTCTTGGCACTACAACCACTGCAGTGGCTTGTAGTTGTTATGGTTTCAGGACTGCTTCTTTAAACATTTATACATAAAAAAACATAAATGGAAATGAAAGTTAATGAAACAATAATATAAGTTTATTTTCACACCTTAAGAAATACAAGGAATTACAATAAATACATAACATACTTTCATTTCAATAAATAAGGACATAGGGCATACAGCTGCAAAAATAAATACAAATGTTTTAAATATATATATTATAAAAAACATATTAAATAAATAAGCAAGAAAATAAATAAATACAATAATATACATATTAACAATAATATAAAAACAATTCACCTTTCACCATATTGTTGAACATTTCAATAAAGGAACAATCTATAACGCAAATATTTTCTAACCCTTAAACTTATTAATAGTACAATTTTGATTTAGGGGTGCTGAATACCAGCCCCTGTATCCCATGGACACAACGTGATTTTAATATAATAGACACACTGCTTAGCTACAGGCATTTGTCATTTAATCACATTATTACCCTTTAAAGTTTTTTTTAAGAAACAACTATATATAGCAGAAAATTAGAGCATGTTGTGTTATTTAAACATGTATCGTAGTGAAAACAGTGTATGTAATGTATGTATTAAAGAGTAATGAATTGACTTTTCTAACTGTTCATGTAAAATATTGATGATAGGATTCCTTTATTTAATAAACAGTGGACTGAGATCAGTATACTGCTAAATACAATTATTTACCAAGTGATAATGGGTGACACAATGTGGGGTAAGAAAATATTTTTTATAATACATTCATAATGTTACACTCTTGGCATTAGTCTAGAGCAGGCCTGGAAAACTGTGCCATATTTCTAAGTTTTAAGATAAATACATCCACTTTGGAATTTTAAATGACCACTCAGCACGTTTAACCCAACCTTTCATCTTTTTCAAAGTCAATAAGATGTGTACTGTCAAGTTGGGTAATACGTCTACTAAACGTCTGCCGATAAGGTTGAAGTCCAAGTGAATGAACCTAAGCACCCTAGTTCCATATGGGGAAAAAGCAGTATATATAAAACGAATTATTTGGAAATATAGATTTAATTTCATTTTTCTAATGTATTTGCCCTCTTAAGATTTTAGAAAATCTTATTTGCAGGATTATTTACCAAAGTATTTATTCAAATTGAATTCAAAGGAAATTTCAACTTTAAAGACAAAGAGCTTAAACACATGGGAACATTTACACTTTGGCAATTTAGGCCTTAATTTGAAATTCACTTAAAAAAAGTGAACACAGATTTCTCTCATTTTCAAGTTTGTCTGGGATAGAAAATACACTCTATTGTTTAATAAGTTATTATTTAAATAATGATTTAATACACCCACAGAGGATGATGGCTTATTGCTATCACCTTAAATTGATCTTATTACCATCAGCTTAATGTTATCTTGTTACCAGTACCATAATGTGCAGCTATATTATTGCTTTTAGTTTATGTTTTAACTTGCTCTTTCTGTTCTGCACTCAGGTACATATTATTTTTGGAGTGAGCCTCTGTTATTTTTAAGGAATGAGGTAATATATAATTTATATTCAGTTGTAAATAGGCTTGGCATTGAAGAAGATATAAACGAGAGCAAAATACTTTTGCACTTTGTCCTTTCACTCTAATATACAGCAAAAACATACACCTACATACATACACCTACATACATTGTTATTATCATGAGATTGATTTGCAAGAGTATGTTTAAAAAAAAAAAGCCATTGTAACATTTCTTCAAATAGACCTGCCGGAGGCAAGATTAAAGTCCTTTGTAGTGCAAGTAATATTTTTGGAGTAGAAATTGATAAACAGGTCAAAATTAAATACCTTCCTATCTCCACCACTATTCCCTTCTTTATCTTCATATTTCTTTCAAAGTGACCATCAAAGGCTTACCGGTGTATAAGGAGTTAGGTGCAGAAAAATGTCTCTGTCAGTTTACTTTTGGAAGAAGCTATTTTCCTTTACAAAAACTTGTTGTCTGGGAGTATTTTGATTATCCATTAGCAGATTCTAACTTCATTATGAATCTGAGCTTGGACTGAAGATATTGGATGTGTCTATCATCCCTAGGGGATCTTCTGACCCAATATCTAGTTTTGGTCTTTGAAAATGTTCACTTGAGTAATCTCCCATATATGTAGATTCACTTGAGGCCTCCAAAGGAATGAATCGTTCCAATTGCCTGCCTCTTACAGGAGTTAGCTTTAGGTGAGCTGGATGCTTTTCTGAAAAGTACAGGTTGTATCCGTCATGTAAGGGCACCTCTCGGAAGTTGCAATCATTTTCGTTATAAACAGCCTAAGAAAATTTAAGACAGAAAGTTAGCAAGCGGAACATGATCCCATTTGTTTTTCAATTAAAATTATTAAAAGTTTCTACACCAAATCTAGATGCTAGAATGCATGTAACTTCAAGTTTTTTTTGTTTTTTTTTAAATGTAAGAACTATGTTTTGTCATGATACCTGTGCTATTTGAAGTGTTGCATGCCTCATCATATGATACACAGAATGATGCGGGGCTTGGGTGGTACTTCCAAAACCAGTGGCTTTAGGTAAGGATGCACAGTGGCAACTTTTCAGCTAATTATAGATGCTAGTCATTGAGCTGTATTAAACACAAAGTACACATTTGTAGCCATTTATTAATCTCCTACTTTCTTACACTTTGCACATGCACAGTTCTGTGATTCCTAGCAGTACCATACAATTCACATAATCATTATCCTAACCTCCACTTACATAGTTACATAGGCTGAAAAGAGACATGTGTCTATCAAGTTCAGCGTTCCTCACATTTGTTTTTTACTGTTGATTCAAAAGAAGGCAAAAAGCAATTCCACTTTTGCAACAAACTAGGACAAAAAATACCTCTTGACCCCAAAATGGCAGTCAGATTTATCCTTGGATCAAGAAGCTATTACCCTTTCTCAGAAGAAGTAACTTTTTTTCTGCTGACATACAGCATTTGTTTGCTTATGGTATGCTTGTATTGATAGTTTTATTTTAATTATTTTTCAAGTCTATATAGGCTGGCTTTTGAGGGAATAAACAACTTAATTTCAAAGGTTACATGCTCCCTCTTGGTGTGAAATCAGGCAAGATCATGTAAAATATCTGGATTATAATTTTCGTAATGGAAACATCATAGGCAATGACTAATTTCTGTTTCCTAGGTCCTGTAAAGATTGTTATCGGCAATCACAAGATCTCAGATCAAAGCTTTCCCAGTGTCACCAGTTTCAAAGATCACTACAAACAGCCCAATAAATGCATAGTCTTAGATGGAGGAATAGATATGTAAACCTTTGTAATTTGAATGGACAGCTGACAGTTTTAAAATATATTTTACATCCTTCAGTATAAAGAAAAGGACTGGGCATAGCCAGGTCTAAGATATGGGCAGATATTTGGATGAACAGAAGCAATGTTTTGGCCTATAACAGTGCACATATCAAGTTCTTAGACTTGTGCTGATCCTTTCCTTTGGATTTTGGTTGCCTCTGGGACAAAGGCATGGCCACTATCCTTAACGCTAGCCTACCCAACTTTTCCTTTATATTTTACATCCTTCCATGGCAAAACATGCACGCAAGCACACAGTATGAGTGTGTACCTATTGTTACATAGTTACAAAAGCTATTTGAATGCATTTTGTGGTGTCTACCAAGGAGCTCAGAAGGATTTATTTGGATTCTCTACAAATTACAATACTGAGCATCGTTCTATTTGCAGAAAAAGGGTCTACTTTGCATACTGAGCAGCCATTCCTCCATTTAAATCTTATTCAATATGTAGAGTAAACTTTTACTGGGCTGGTTTAGAATACTGGTGACTGACCGGATTAAGCTTACTTTGTTACTAGTGGTCATGCCACTGACCGGATTAAGCTTACTTTGTTACTAGTGGTCATGCCATCTTTGCCATAAATGTTGGGTAAGGTTGGGGTAAGGTTGCCAAGCAGCAACTGCTGTCTACTGCCATTTTAATTCTGCCATTTTCATTAGCTCAGTGCATGATAGGAAAGGACCGGAGAAGACAGAAAATGTGTGATGCGGTTTAGCCAAATCCTCTCCCAACAACTTAATCTGGAGAGATATTGTATTATTGGCTGCAAATAACAGCTACTGCTTGGGAGTTTTTTAACTTCCACCAGTCTCACGAAAAGTCAAACCTTAACCCTAACCCAGTCCTAATACAAAAAAACAATCCTGCACTCAAACTGGGCGGCAGCAACGACCATAGTACACATCAGCCCCAATACATACAGTAAAAACCAAAGAAAAAAGTTACCTGCGCTCTTTCCCAAATCCTTGAATTTTTGTATTTGTATTCACTTTTGTATCACACAGCTATGTTACAATGCTACCGACCATCCCATGTGTGACCTACTAAGGGTTAAAAAGTAGATAGGGGTCTCTCTGTCTCATTAGAAATATCTTTACCAGAAGCTCAAGGTGAATGGTTAGTGTAGGGCCCACCTTGGAGGTTTGCCTTGACGTGGCAGGTGGGCATTCCCTCTAATGGCCATTGGAGTAACTAAATAACCTCCATTTGTTTAAATCCACATAGGGATTTGGGAAAGAGCGCGGGTAACTTTTTTTCTTTTTTTTTTAACCCTGTCCTAACCCTAAAAAATAATCTAAAGATGCATACTGCTAAGGTGTTTATTTAGTCAGTATAATACCAATAATTAAGTCAACTTTTATGCTGCAGTTTGACATTTCTTATAGCAGTCATGAGAAATTGATATACAATATTTGGTACTTTCGATGCTTCAAGACACTATAAGCACCATAATTACTAAATCTCAGTGTAATGTGTTTGATGAAATAGTTTTTTGCTCTCTGTTGCACCACATCCCACCTTATATTCAACTGCAGCAGCAATTTGGTTTGGCTTTATCAATATAAATTCCATCCAAATTAAAAGACAGTGATTTACTGAGCTAGTTCTCCACCTTTGCTGTCAAGCCAATCATCACCATCCACGTTGGACAGAATTGGTTATGCTTAAGTGAAAATTCCATATTACCACTGCAGCTAGAAAGGTTTTGCCAGGGATAGACCATTAGTTAACTGTAGTTTAGAATTACTTACCGAACCATACAAATGGTGCTTTGAGTTCATGCAGAGATACATGGTACTATGCGTTCCACGGATAACCAAAATACTTGGCTTTACTGCCTTGATCTCCAGCAGACCTATAATAATATAATGTAATTATTGATAACATAAATAACGATATGTTATTATCAGTCTTTCCAAATCTATATGTTAACAATTCCTATGACATGTTACATTTAGAACAAAAACAGCTGCTGTTCCACAAAGAAAAAGCCAACAGTGGTTTAGAACTTTGAGCAAAGAATGGTTTCGTATTTTACTGTTGTCAGGTAAGCTTTAAGGAGCCCTGAAATGATAACTTGGATCTAGTTCAAATGGGGGTGCCCAAAGGACTAAAGGTTTCGTAACAAAATGATGTGCTTTTGGCACAGATCAGAAAGGGTAATGGCTGAAGAGGTCCACACAGCTGCCTGTTTAGCCACCTCTGGAACCAATGTCAGGCAAATATATCCATGACTTTTAACACATAAAATCGACAAAACATGTTAAAAATAATTTTGTTTTCTCTAAACACAGCCTTTCACCCAGTGCCCTCTCTTTCTGTCAAGTTAGTAGAGTCTTATGGATAATCCGGCTCTGGATCTGTTCCCTTACAAGTCTCATAAGTGTCAGTCAACTTGGATGATGTAAGTTATAGTTCACTAATAGCTAGATAGTTAAAGTTTCTCTGATATTCTTTTTATTATTCCTGTGGATTATGGCACATGAATAGAAAAAGCTATATACTGAAGTATCCAATTTCTGCACAGTCATTATCAGCATAACATAACTTCCTATACTTCACCTTGTTATATTGTTAAACTTGATATGCGGGCTTAGTTTCTTTGATCTTTAGCTATTCTTTAACTGATCCTGCTGACCTGTTTCATTAACTGCACGACTGTATTATGTAATGTTTTCTGATGTAATTTTAGCGACTTCTTGCTGATAAAGCATGCTGGTATCATAAATACACACCATCATTGTTTATGAGTCTTAGATTGGCACTTTATAAATACACAATCTAACTTAAACTCATACAATGCATGACCTTTGAAGACAAAAAAAAATTCTATTATTTTTTTTTTAATTTATATTTCCTTCTCATCTCAAGAATTTATATCCCATAGATCCATGGCAGAACATTATGGTTATAGGGAACTGTAGTTTAATTGTTAGCTTTTTTTTTTTATTGTAGAATGCTGACAGATGAACTACAACTCCCAGAATTCCCATTTATATATTTGAGTGAAAACATTAGCCTTTAGCTATTGAATTTGCAAATTACTTTAGTTATAAAAGATAGATACAGGGGACCTTCTTGCACCCTAATCTATAAAAGAAACATACTTTGATATGGTGTTTGAAATGCCCCTTTAATTTAAATATTATTTTTTTTTCCTTCTAAATAGTATTTTACAACTTTAAGGAAATTATATCTTTTATATATTTCTATCGGTTCATGTTAATATTTTGAATCCATATACAAACTTTGATAGTAATATGTTATTTTACAGCGTATTACACAGTTTTGAGCTATGAAGCTGTTATCTAATGTCTGAATATGGCAGGAAATGAAAAGTGCAACAACGATTAACTTCCCCCAGTCTGCTGTTAGGAAAGAAAGATTTTCAGAAAGATGACTTTCTGACAAGGGATGCACTTTCTAACTAATATATCCAATTATTTTAAAAACATATTTTTCTATTATAGACAGGTAATATAGTATGCCAGTATAAAAATCGTGCAAAAGAATGCATTCTTCATAATGCATACTAGAAAAAAAAGTTCTAATAGACAACATTATTTTTAACTATTGCAATTGGGAAATAAAAGATTTGTTCATACATTTCTAAGAAATCTCTCCTTTATAATTTATTTAATTGCTTATCCATTAATAAAAAAGATATGGTTCTATATTAGGCAGAGAGCAAAATTAGAACTGTGACAATTTATATATATATATATATTATGGTCATATACAAAATAATAATAATTTAGATCAGTGGTAGATGTTCTTCACGAATCTGTTGGCGCTTTATAAATACCAGTAATAAAGTAAGTAAATACTGGTAGACTGGTAGGGAATTAAGGGTAATGCGGACCAACAACAGGTGGAAAATGAAGGTTGAACTCCTCCAATTTATAAAGAAGAATATATCTAATTAAAATTAATAAAGAAAAGTTGCAGTCCATGATATACTTACTGTATACGTTTTTTTCTCTTGTGCCGCTCACCTTTCCTTCAGGAGAGATCTGCAGATGCAAATGTGTGTGTTCATTATCTGCATACAGGTATCTAAGTCGCACTTGATCAGAGAATTGCAAAAGTGGGTTTGTGTCTCTAAGAGGACTTGCAAGCACTGTTCTAGAAAATATGAGAATAAAGGCCAAAAGCAAGCACCATCTTAATAAAGGGGACTGAACAAGTGTTATACCCCCTGCTTTCATCATCTTCACCAGGAATATTAAAATAAATAAAATTATAAATAATTTCTTCTTTAGGATAAATAAAAAATTCAAAATTCTGATAGAAAAAAAAGTTCTTTCGAAACAAAACAATTATTATTTATTGTTTATATATTTAAATATTTTCTAAAAGAGAAGATGAGAAAGATTAGATAACTAAAAAAAATTCTTGAAGTCCCCTTAAAGTGTATATCAGATCTTCTGTGCTCTAAATCTGTGCAAGTCTGAGTTCAGACTCACATTTCTAATGACAAAATATAGTAGAGGAGACACATTTATACTCTTTGGTCCTTAACCCTTATCACCACTTTTTTTTTTCTGTAAATTTTCTCTGAGTATTTATTTTCCTGCCCCCTCCATGTCTGAGTCATTATGCATGAGGAGGCTGTTCACTTTAAGCTGAAATGGCTATTTACTTATTTCATTGCTGCGGGAAGGACAATACTGTAAACAATTTTTCACGTTTCCGACCAGAGATTACCAGGACTGGGGGTAGAAGATGATGCAATGCTGAATGGTGATATAATCTGTATTTTTGACTTTAGGGAGGGGCCTAAATCCATTTAAATCACATTCCTTAGCTGTGCTTCCAAAGTTAACCCCTACATAGGAGAAACAGCAATAACACAGATACATATAAAACAAATTTCTGACCATTGTTTTAATTAATCGTTTATATTTTCTTCCGTAAATATCAGACATTGTTTAAAGGGAAATTGTTCAACAACAATTTTTTATTCATATATGTACTATAGCATTTTGGTTTACATTATTTAACTATATATTATCCATTTTCATTATAATGCTAATAATACTTTTATGAAACACCGTTAAACACACAGGACAATGGTTAATACATATTACCCAACATTCCAAATGGACATAGAGGGTCAATTTGATTTTAGAGATGTGAGTCAAGATGTGGCCAGTGGTGGGATTGTTTTGAAAAATTTTGGTGACCTACTAATACCTGTACACAAGCTGATTTTTAAACACATTTACTGTAGCTTAAAGGGATTCTATAGTGCCAGGAAAACAAAGTCATTTTCCTGGCACTGTAGAATCTAACAGTGCCCCCCTCGCACACGTCCCCCTTCAGCGGCGCTGAAGGGGTTAAACTCCTTCAGTTAAAACCTCTTCAATCACTTACCTGAATCCAGTGCCGATCTCCGTCAGTGCTGGGTCAGGCTCCACCCATGCTCCTTCCCCGACGATGTCAGCTAGCGGGGGGTGTCCAAACTTTTTTCAAAGAGGAAAGTGCAAAATCTTTCACTATATCACAGAAAAATATTATAGTGGTCAGTTTTCACCAATATCACTCTGTAGTGCTTAAGTGAATATTAGGGCATTTAGTAAAACAACAGGTTAAATATACGTATAAGAACTTCCCTTTTGGTTATGGATTTTAACCCGAAGATCTCCTCAAATCTTCCACAAATACATAGACAAAAAACAATAGGGTCTATCCAATTGTAGGGAAACAAAGAAAAACATAGTGCAGTTCTGTATAACACTAAAGAAATATCGTTTTGTGCCAAGTGGTCACTCACACTTTAACTGATAAAGCAGGGCATGTAGAAATCAATGGAGAATTCAGGCAGTTCCTTGTTTCCAATGGCTGGTCCTGCAGATCTCAGCAGTATATGAAATAAAATGCATCCAAAATGAGATATAAGAAGGTGTAGATAAAGTATAAAAATAATTTATTACTAACACACAGGTAAGGATCAATCAGCATAAAACACAAATAAAATCTGTCCACAATCTGTCCAACGCATTTCCTCTTAATCAGGGACTTCCTCAGGGACTTTGCAATAGTAAGACAGGATTACAAATTAATAAAAGACATATCCCCTCCTTCCCTCTTAAATACACCACACAATTAGTAGATAGATGTCCTCCATGTGTTGGTTGGCTTAATTTTAACTGCTCGTAGTCAGATCACAATCACTTCCTGGTTCCGGGTGTATGATGACATTGCATTCCGTTCGCGGCGTCAGTTTTGCGTTCCACGTGCGTTCCAAAGTGTCTCTTTACTCACATGGTGGTTCCTGCGTTCCACCATGCATTCCAGTAGCGCGAAACAGTTGCCAGTAATGTCAGGAGGTGACATAAATGCGAGATGATGTGGAGGGGGATGAAGAAGATTTGTTTAAACATTATTTCCCCTTCTACACATTGTAGAGCTTTGGCCAGCTATTGTCACTCCTGAGCTGGCCAAAGCTCTACAATAGGTGAGTACGAGGACTACTATTACCATTACCTTCGTCTTTCCACCGCAGTTTTACACTATTGGAATTTCTGTCTTTTATTTGCATGTTTCCACATTATCTGGATACCTCGGATCCTGCAAGGCCCACCGATTTTATCTATCCCTTCAATCAAACTTGGACTATTGTTATCCACATAATTTTTATCTGGACTTTATTCCATTTTTATTCATTTCTATGTAAGTACGCATTGATCTTATTATTTTATATCACCCCTTGGCGCGACCTATATTCTATTTTTGTAACTGCTAACCATTTACCTTCCATGGATGTTCGGCTTTTCAAATGGGATTCGAACGGCGTTCGGTAAGAACAAACCCCCGAAGGAGAGACATAGACTAAGTTCAATATGAACTCGCTATGTTATATGTTACTTCGAATCCCTGGAGTAGACCGACCGCACAGCCTAATTCTCTGGAACTGTGTTGGGCATGGAACCATGCGTGTGGTTGGTCAAAATGTGACTTCCATAAAATTCCTGAACCCCTGAACTGATCTGGGTGATTTTTTGATATGTTGGTCACCAAGATCAGGGCTATCAGGGGATGTAACAATTGTCGGGATCTTATGTGTTCTGGGAGGGGGGTATAGGAATGCTTGGATGGCTAGGAGGGGCTATAGGGACCTGTGGAGGGACTGAGGGAGATAATAAGGCACATGAAGGTCTTGGGGGGTAATGAGACACATGGAGGGCTAGGAGGAATGGATTGATACACATTGAGGACTGGGTGGATGGATTGAGAAACATGGAGGGGTGGGGGGCTAATGAGACTCATGTAGGGCTGGAGGGGGTGGAAAGAGACACATAGAAGGCTGGAAGGGGGGCTGTAGGGTCACATGGAGGGCTGATGAGACACATGGAGGACTGGGGGTCTAATAAGACACATGGAGGGGCTGAGGGAGCTAATAGATAAAAGGGAGGTAATGAGACACATGGAGGGCTAGGAGCAATGGATTGACACACATGGAGGTCAGGGTGATGGATTGAGAAGCATGGAGGGGTGGCGAGGATAATGATACACATCTAAGGCTAGAGAGGGTGGAATGAGATGAATGAAATGTATTTTCACTTGTGTCTCCTGCTCTCCCTGTAATTTAGAGTCGACTGGTGAGAGAAAGACATTGTATTAAGTTTAATGTAGTGGTTCTGGTGTCTATAAGCTGTCCCTGTATGCTGAGCACTGTAAATGCTACCTTTTCAGAGAAAAGCCAGTGTTTACATTGCTGCCTAGGAACATCTGTACTGACAGTCACTCAGACGGCCACTAGAGCTGCTTCCTACTCCAGTGCTGCACAGTGTGCAGCACCTATGTTGAGCATCTCCACGCTGAACGCTCTCCATAGAGATGCATTGATGCAATGCATCTCTATGATGAGATGCTAATTGGTGCAGTAAAGCGCAGCATTTTGCCACACATGCGCAATAGCCTCCCAATGCTTTCCTATGGGAATGAAATTGGCTTTGACTGAGATCATCCAGTTGTCAGCCAAAGTGAAGAGCACACTCTTGTTACTTCAAAATAAGCAAGATAACGTCATTTATTTTTTACTGCTGTGCAATAACATACATTCACAATTTCAGTCAATTACGAAACTTTCCTTAATGTGTCAAGATAGTTGGACTGAAACACTGATTAGATGCAAATGCACGCCTGCTTACAACAAAACCGCTCTTTTGTTTATTCTGAAGCCCTATGAGTGCTTTCTTTCACATTTGAGTTATACTTTTCAGGTTTCTTTTCCCGCTTTCATATCTGGACACCATGCTGGTGCGATGCATTATGGGGCCGGTATAGAATTTGTTTCCAGGCCTGCTTTTCATTCCCAGTCCAGCCCTAGCTGCAATTGGCCCACGGGCCGGACTTTGGACATGACTGACGTAGCGCAATCGAGTAGTATCTTTTTTTTTTTTATGGAGGAGTGTGGGGATGATCTTTCAAGCTCGCTGGCTTCAGCATTATATTCAGTGATAGTAAGTTAATTTATTTTTCTTGTTTTATACCACCATTTGTTAATGTTTACCATAGCGTTATATGATGACTACTATTAGGTCTACATACCCTTGTTTCTGAATATTGAGTGCAAATGTAATGTGATTTATACTGTGTTTAATGAATATTGTCAATTGAGGTTTCATTACTATGCTCTATTGGATCTTTACGGGATATCTTTTTATTTGATTACATCACTATTTATATATATTTATATATTTGTATCATTTAGTGGATTGCTCACCTACTATTTGCTTACCTTACGGAGGTGTGGCTTCTCCTTATGTTGTGGTGTCTCCTTTTACCTATGGGGGGAGTTTGCAGGTGGGTGATATTTTACTCTCTTTGGTTTTAGCAATATATGTATTGAAAGTAAGTTCATTTACTTTGTTTATCTTGTTTTATACTGCCCACTGTTGGTTCCATTTATCACTGTTTACCATAGTGTTATATGATGACCACAATTAAGTACATTTGCCTTTATTTTTTAAATGCAACGTGACTTATACTGTGTTTAATGAATACTGACAATTGAGTTCATTACTATGCTCTATTTGATATTTACGTGTGTTACATTAAACTATGTTGTTATATTGCATAATTTAACATTGCCGCAGCACTGTTACGTTCATTATAAGTAATACATTGCATAACCTGCGAGATAGCACTGATGTTATTAATTATTTTTTCCGGTGCTTCAATCTCTATCACACACACAGCGATGATTTCGTTTTTTTAAACTATGTAGGAATGATTCTGCACTATAGCTTTTAATAAACATGGTCAAAATTTTATTGGAGAAACGGCACATACTTCGCTGTAGCCTATGGAAATGGTAATAGCTACATTAAAGGGGACCTGTCATGGGCCAGCATTTTTGATAATATGTAATATGTATTGTCTCCCTCGGTCAATGCAAACACAAGAGAAATTAAATTTGCCTTTAACAACCTTATTTAAAGCAGCAAGCAGCATTGACAGCAGCTGTTATAGTATATAGTACATAACAGGAAAATAATTCTGAGCTATGTTGAGCACTTTTTCCATTTTATTTAGCAGCAGGTGTCTCTCACTCTTTTAGAATAAAATTCAGCAAATATCTCTCAAGTTCAGCCTATATCCAAAAATCCTGTCTTTCCTTAGAAACAT